GAGCCACCCAGGCGTCCCGTGCTCTAGCACAGTTTAAAGGTTGTATTTGCTTAATTCCATCCAGAAGACACATGTTGAGCACCTACCATGTTAATCCCCAAGCCAGATGCAGTAGAGACAAGATGACTGTTACACGGTCTCAGCTCTGAAAGTTTAACAAATAATGTTGAGAAGACAGGAACAGAGGAAGCCCAATAAGTGGCGTCTCCTCTCCACTGGGCTTCAGAACAAACAGAAATAAGATAAACAATAAAAAGTAGATGGTTAATGTATCAACTTTATCAACAACAAAGACTAGGTTGAAGGACAAAGCTTAGTGTGAGAGTCAAACTGGATGTAGCTATTTTCCCCCGCTATGTTTTGCCATTCCTTTATCCTGTACTCTAACCTTGGAACAGCCCAACAGAGGGTAAGCTTGGGTCTGCAAAGTAGACACACACACTTCAGGTCTTGCCTCCCACTGGTCAAAGTGGAGAGGAAATGAGAAAAGGACCAAATATGCACCCTCAGGACCACTGGTGGGTGCACTCCGTCCAGGGAAGATACATGGGCCAAAACCGGCACCCACTGAGCAGAACTACCTCCATAAGGAAAAGTCAGGAGCAGCAAGGAGCCAGGAATGTTAAGGGAATAATCCTTCTTCGTGGAAACAAGGAAAATGGAAAAGAGACCTTCACTCCCATGAAGACATACACACAACTCTGTGACTTGAGTCTGACTATGATGTTCTAAAAGTGGTGTAAACAATGCCCTTGGAGACACAAAAAGGAAAGGAACTCATGCTGACAGGGGAGAAGTGGTGTGTGGAGAAGAGGTGGTTGTCTCTGCATGGAAAAGATGAGTAGGGTTTGGAAGGGAGACCAGGACAGCAACGGTGGGGGAAGGGGCGGACGGCAGAGGGAGCAATGTGACTCCAGGTGCAAATGTGCACATTCATGGAGACCTAAAGAAACTGGTGTCCAGAGGAATGGAGGCCATTCCAGTTACTTCAGGAGGCCAATTTCATCTGGACGGTTATGGGCTTGGCCTAAAAGGCAAACTTCTTCCAACTCTTTTAATTTATTGAACACTGCAAATGTACTTCTTGTGACTCAGGATAGGGTTGGGTTCAAGCCTGAGGGAAACTCAATCAGGGACGTGGGAGCCAAAAATGGGGACAGGAGAACCTGTTGTCCAGGTTACTGGATGATTAACAAACAGTGATTGACGTTATGATGTGGCCATTTTGAAGTAGATTTGTCAAAATGTCTCTGATAGCTTGGAATAACCTTTAAGTGAGTTTGTACTTTATTCCACAGAAAATGGGAAGCAAGAAAGAGTTTTGAACCGTTATTATATGACAAGTGCCACACTAGTCACTGTATAAAGTGACACCAGCCTTCCAGGCATTCATATTCTAATCAGGACCCACATGTGTGGCAGTAATTTTCATGTACATGCAGGGAGGCATAGGGTGACGCATCACTCACCTGTCAGAGATATCCCTCTGGCGACAGGGTGAGCCCTTGGTCAGAATGGACACTGGAGGCAAGGGCTTGGTACAGAAAGCAATTGCAATGGGCCAGGCAGGGAGCGAGACGATCGCAGAGTGGTCAGGGGATATGAAACCAAACAATAACCCCAAATCGTGTCACCTTTTAGATGTGCGTAACTTAAAAGCCATTTTCACATTTTGATTCGACAGGCTCTTTTTCGGAGGTTGTGATGGAAAGTTTTCAGACCAACTGCTCAGATTTCAAGTAAACAACATACTTTTTTGTTGATTTAACTCCAATCTGACCCAACTGTGAAAAAGTAATTGCATTGACCAGGCTGTCTGTTTGTACACTTAGAAAACTATAGGTTTGATTCCCAGAGGTTTTTATTTTGCCAGGAATCAGAACCACAATGGATGTAAAATTGTGAAACTTGGCGGTCAGGAGGGGAAATGGGAAGTTCATCGTGAGAGGACGGGGGGAAGGAAGCGCAAGTGTGCACGGGGACCAAAGGCGGCAGACCTGTGGGTGCCTGGACAGAAGCCGCTGTCTGCAGGTGACTATTCAGCTTCCCCTGAGCAGCTCACACAGTGACACGCGTCCATTCAAATCTCACATGTTTATGGAAGGCCCACAGCGAGCCAGGCATTCTTCCAAAAGCTAGGGGTGAATAGAGCAGTAAGTACACTAGACAAAACTTACCCTCAAGGCACTTATCTTTTAGCAAAGAAGGCAGATAACCAAACTCAGATAATGAGAGGAATAACAACTATGGTGGAGGGTGGTGATTATTATGGAGAAAACAGCGTGGAAGGTTGGAGAGGATGGTCCCTGCTGGGGTGAGTGGTGTGTGGAGGATCTTCCCCAAGAGGCTGATATTTGTACAAAGACCTGAAGGATGTGAGAGAGTAAATCAGTGATGGTCCTCCAGCTGAGCGCCCAAAGGCACCTGAGAGTGCACGCTCAGGACTGTACTCACCCCTCCCTTCTCCACGGTGAGAATCGGGAGGGGCCCACCGCGTCCCCTGGGTTAGCCAGAGGCACCAACACAAGCTGCTTCCCAAGCGGTCCTGGCCTTGCCCTTCTGCTGGCTCCGCGTTCGGGCTTTCACCAAGGCCTGCCCACTACCTCCTGAGCACCTCTCTGCCTTGTCCCTCCCTCCTAAGTCAGCATCAGCCTGTCCAACCGCACTGGCCCCTACGCGTCTCTAAGGTCTATGCTCCACACCAGAGCCTGGCTGAGGCTGCCCCCTCTAAGCTAAATCCCCACTACGCCTCTGCCTTGCATAGAAGGCCACCTCGTGTCCCCATTACCTCTAAGAAATCGAGAAGCTTTCTGCCACAGCCAACAGGCCTCCCCGATGGGACCCTTACCAGTTCTCCACCCAGGTCTTCTAAACAAGTAGGTGTTCCTTCCCAACACACAACATGCTACAACATTGCTGCCTACATTTGTTCCTGCCATGCCTTGTGCTTAAGTGTGCTCCTGTCTGTCTATGCCTGACTGTAGATAGCTCACGCTCAGCCGAGTGTGCTCCTGACTATACATGTCTAACTGTAGATAGCTCACGCTCAGCCGAGTGTGCTCCCGTCTGCCCATGTCTAACTGCAGATAGTTCACGCTCAGCTTGAGCATCACTTCGTGCAGAGAGTCTGACCTCCCATTTCTGTTGAAGTGCGTCTCCTTTGGAGCTCTCCAGGCTGCGGTTCCTCTCTGCAGAGGTGTCTGTCTCCCCACAGAACTCAGCTGTCCGCGGGCGATGGGCACTCACTCATCCTGACCTCTCCTAGCGTACTCCCTGTTGAACTTTCCAAAGAAACGAATTCAGGGTTAAGGCCCTTAACAATGCAGGAAGTGCTTATACTTTAGACCAAAGTTGGATGTTTCCTTACTTATAACTCTCTCTACAAAACAATAACGTCACGGGGCTGCAGAATGGTTTGTGCTCCCCAGTGCAGGAAGTAGGAGAGCACTGCTGTTCATAACCTTCCTCTTGGGGTCAAAGCAGAGGCCACTTTGTGGCCTGCGTGTGGGCAGCGCTGGTCTGTGCGGGACAAGGGAGAGAATTCCCTATTGATTCCAGAATTGAGATCGGAGTAGTTGAGGGGTTGAGGGGTGCCTGGGCGGCTCAGTTGGTTAAGCATTCAACTCTTGGTTCTGACTCAGGCCATGATCTCACGGTGGTGGGAATGAGCCCCAAGTCAGACCCTGTGCTGACAGTGTGGAGCCTGCTTGGGATTCTCTCTCCTTCTCTCTCTGCCCCTCCCCCACATGCACACAATCTCTCTCTCAGAAATAAATACAAATAAACATTTAAAAAAAGACTCCGAGTAGTTGACCACTTCAGGCTGAAACGGGGAAGAGAGCATATGCAAGCCAGGAGTGTTGGCAGGAGGCCCTAGGTGCTCACTGTGAAATTTTTAGTAACGTTTCAAATCTTACTCTGTCTATAAAATGCGTGGTGTGCAAGTATACAGAGTGTGTGCGTGTGGACGTGCATGCCTGCATGCACAGGTGGGGCGCAGTTTAGGAGAGGGGCGTGGGCTCGCGTCAGTGACGAGGGGCCTAGCAGAGCCTGCGTGCCGGGGTGCAGGGGTGGGGACGCTGGGGACACCCTGCTGGCAGTGTCTGGGGTCTCTGAAGCAGCACAGGCCACGTGGTCTGTGGGATGCGGACCTTCAGGTCACAATGAGGTGGTTTCGAGGCCCCACCCAGCTTTCCTCGGCTGTTTGACTTCTCTGAGTCGTCACCCCACACAGGGGATAAACCAGACTGCCCCTGGCTCCAGAGACATGAACGAAGTGCTCGGTGCTTTGCACTCGTGGTGACCTTCACCAGCTCTGGGGGTGGGGCGCTGCGTCTGGCAGCGGGGCCAGAGCAGAAGCCGGGAGACAGTAGACAGCCGATGAGAGGCGCTGAGCAGTCCTCCCGAGAGAGAGGGTTAGGTAGACAGACGAGGGGAGCCCTGAAGGGCAGACCCAGCTGACCCTGTAAGACCATCCAAGAGCAAGGAGGGTCTTCAAGGGAGCCGCGGTGCTGTGCATGCGTGACAGGCTGCGTGTTCAGCCATGCTGCTCCCCCCTCTGTGTTGGCAGAGGCCCCCGGTGTTGGCAGAGCACCCCCGTGTTGGCAGAGCACCCGTGTGTTGGTAGAGCACCCGTGTGTTGGCAGAGCACCCCCGTGTTGGCAGAGCACCCCGTGTTGGCAGAATGTCACCTGCTGTCCATCACTCCCTCCCAGAGACCTGGCCCCTCCAGGCTTAGCTCTTCATTCCCCAATCAGTTCTGCCCTCCAGTCGCCTAAGGACCGGGTACTTGACTATGCTTCCTTCCTCGGGTTTTAGATCTGATGTGTGAACTGTATTTTCCATTCTCTGCAAAGAGAAACAAATCTCACCCATTTTCCTATCATTATCTCAGACAGATGGTCCACACCTACCCGAGGCTTCTGTGACCTCACACTGACCACTTCCTTTGTTCTGGACCTTCCCCGAACACTTGAGAGTAAGCATATAAATCGCCATGTATGGGAGCCTCGGAGAGAAGAGAGGAAGTTTAAGAAAGGATGGAGGAGAACCAGGACGGAAGCCTCTGAGAACAAAGAAAATCAGCTCAATACGGCTACTTTGTACTCACCACGACAGGCCCCATCGTCACAACCTCCACCAACATTCACTGGACACCTGCCATTTCTCAGGTACATGGATTGCCCCGTCTAAACCTCCCAATAACCCAGTAAGGTGGGTACTAACACTAGCCTCATTTCACGAATGAAGAAATGAGACCTAACTTCCAAATATTAACAGCTAGTGAGTGATGGGAGATAGAAACTCTTGATACCATCATCTGACTTGCTGAGTTGTGCTGGTAACCGGGTTACAATAACTGTACTGAGAGAGAGGTGATTGTAAACTAGCACCAGGGTGGCAGAGAGAACTAGCCTAGACGTCACAGGACTAGATAGCTAGACCTCTGTGTCCCTCATCTGGAAGATTAAGGGATGACACCAGACAACCCTCAAAGATGCACACCAGCTGCAAAGTTCTGTGTAGAAACATCACCTACTTCTCGATGTGATGAGCATCACTTTTGAATACAGATGCTTATATTCTAAGGGGTTATTGGAATTATTATGAGCAGGTTAATCTGGGAAGGTCCCTGAAGTTTTGAGAAGTATTTTGAAACCAGAAAGGAAATGGCATGAAGAAGAGACATAACAAAGGTCAGGCAAGGATATGGTCAGAAAAATGACTAAAAGGAAGGGGGGATGAGTCATGTGCACAGGGTCACCAGCAGAGTCTCCAGCTGCAATGGGCTGCACTATTGCAGCAGGAAATGGGCACCATCGGTTAGGAAAGGACCAGGTGGTGAACAGTCCTAAAACCAAGGCATTGAGGTCAAAAATTAGTTATTGGGGAAGAAAATCTCTACCCACCAAGGATTCTGAACTTGTGAAGATAAAAGATTATTAGATAAATTAGTTTCTTCATCCATTAATTTATTTTCTGGGTAAAGCAGGAACACGGCTTTCTAACAGGAGCTTTTGAAAGTGAAAGGTAGGTAGGAGGGCACGTGTGGGGATGAACACTGGATGTTATATGGAAACCAACCTGACAATAAACTATTAAAAAAATCACTCAGTATGTCAGAAAGAAAAAGAAAAAAAAAAGGAAAGGTAGGGAAGGGGACATTGCTCTGGTGTGACATTCTAAAAGCCACCTGAGCCAAATAAGATGTTCTGGGGACACAAGGCTTAGCTCTCCTCAGGGCATGCTTGTGAATGTGTGTGTGCTGAGAGGGCAGGGTGGGGAGCATTATGTGAGTCTGGTTTCTGCACAAATGTAAGAGGAAATTGCTGAGGTCTGCGTGCTAGGGGCTTGGCTTCTTAAAAACGATGGCTGGCATATTTCTTAATTTATTCCCAGAATGTGAACTTCCCCAGTGCACCACAAGTTTAAACTTTGCTTTACCTTTCTAAAATCTTAGTAGTCAGGAAAAAGATCTTTATCCAAGAGGAATATAATTAATGAAACTCCGAATTTTTTTGGAAGATGGCTCTTCTTCTGAACCATTAGAACACAGCAAGCAATAATCCTGATAAGATTATTGGTTTTGAAAAAAAAAAAAAGATTATTGGTTTTGATAATAAACTGCATAGGCTAGTTCTTATCAGACTCAAACATTCTTCCTAGGAAAAGACATCATAAAAATATTACTTTCTATTCTCCTGTTTCTGAAATATATTTTCTTAAATTATAAATGTGACATAGGCACATTTAAGATTTGGATTTTCACTCCTATGTGAGATTGAAGAAACAAAAGAAATGAACGTAAGGGGTGGAGACAAACAAAGAAACAGACTCTTAACTGTACAGGACACACTGATGGTCACAGAGGGGCGTTGGTGGGGGGTAGGAAATAGGTGATGGGGACTGAGGAAGGCACTTGTGGCAAGAACTGGGTGAGGTGCGGAAGTGCTGAGTCACTATATTGTACATCTAACACTAATATCACATTGTATGTTAAATAGCTGGAATTAAAATTTTAAAAAGAAAAGAAGAAAAAGATTTAGATTGTCCAGTGTGTTTATGGGGAAGGTTCTGGGCCGAGCTGAGAGCTATGTTGGACCAGGGAAGGAAAGTGCTAATGTGAGTGTATATTTACATGTGCCTGGCACTATGCCGGCCACTTTATTCACATAATTTCACTGAATTGCTGTGATGCTCCTACACGTAAAAACAGGGCCATTGGGTTGCTAGTCTGCATCGCACACCCAGTAGGTGCAGCTCTAAGGATGCAGACAAGCCCTGTCTACCCGACTTCAAAGTCCATGACTCTTCAACCAGCAATAGGTTCGTGCTGCTGATTACCCCATTTTGCCATCCAGGTGGAGAAAAGCGAGCTCTTATCTGTTAGTAAAACTCGTTGGTGTTAAAAATAATACATATTATGTATTATGTTATAAAAATGTATAGTATAATACAATAGTAAATACACATAACACATAGATACTTTAGAATCAATTCTAAACTGAACTTTCCAATTTGCTCATTTGCTGCCTTCGGGCTGGGAATGTGGTCAACTAACAGGAGCAGACGCCTCATTCAGCTCTATCTTAAATCTCATAGCCAGAATCGGCCCACTCCTCTGGGCCACCATTGCTACTGCCTAGACCCTGTCTCCCCATCTCTCTTGCCTGGATTGGCGCCATAGTTCTCCATGGGAGAGATGTCTGTCTCACCAGAGTAAAAGACCAAGTGCTTAAGGGGCTGAGAGACCCTGCCTGTGTGGCTGGTGGGCGTCTCTCTGACCTCATCTCCTGCACATTTCCCCGCCACAAGCTTTCCCCTCTGCTAGACAGGCCTTCCCCTCCCAGGATACAGACGCACGCCCTGCTTCAGAGCCTCTGCTCTTGGCTTTCCTTTCCTGCTGCCCGGCACACTCTTCCTCAAGATGTGGCGTGGCTTGCTGCTCTAACTCTTTCAGGTCTTCTGGAATGTCAGCAGCTAAGTCAGACTTTCTCTGACGACCCTGTTTTAAAATTGCAGCCCTATCCCCTACCCCTGCAACACGCGTCCTGTCCATCTTCCCCGCTTTACTTTCCTCCACAGCACTATGTTCTTTCATTCACTGTATTTCAGCTAGTTGCCTTTGTTTGTACTATTTTATTTTTGCATTTAAAAATATTTTATTTGGGGGGAATCTGGGTGGCTCAGTCGGTTAAGCATCTGCACTTGATTTCAGCTCAGATCACGATCCCAGGGTCGTGGGACGGAGCCCTATGTCAGGGGGCACTGAGTGTGAAGCCTGCTTGAGATTCTCTCCCTCTCTCCATCTGCCCCTCTCCCCACTCACGCTCTCTCCCTCTAAAAAACAAATAAACAAAATAATAAAATGTTTAAAAGTATTTTATTTTTGCATTTAAAAATATTCCAAGAAGGGATCCAATACTAAGTTGCCAACAGAATTCACGGTACTAAATCACTAAGAATCCCTGACCTGCGGGTTCTACTTTTTTTAATTTTTATTTTTGCCTTTGAAAATATTCCGAGAAGGAATTCAATGATAGGTTGCCAATGGAATTTGTGGCACCAGGTCCCTAAGAATCGCTGAACTACATGTTCTACTCCTGAAAAACAGCTTTATTGAGCTATAATTCACATACAATAAAATATACCCACTTAAAGCGTAAAATTCAGGGGTTTCCAGTAATATTAACAGACTTATGCAAGTATCACCAAAGTCAAATTTTTGAGCATTTCATCACCTCAAAAAGAAATCCTATGCTCATTAGTCACTCCTGCCCCACCCCCACCCCCTACTGCTTAGCCATCACTCATCCACTTTTGGTCTCTACAGATTTGCCTGTTTTGGGCATTTCATATGAAAGAAGTTATGCAATGAATGATCTTTTGTGACTGGCTTTTTAGTATAATGTTTTCGAGGTTCACCCACCTTGTAAAATACATCAGTACTTAGCTCATTTTTCTGGCCACATCATATTCTATTTTAGGAGTGTATTTGTTTGCCCATCATCAGTAGATAGACATCTGGGATGTTTACATTTTTTAGCCATAATGAATAATGCAGGTATGAACACTGATGTGCAAGCTCTTGTGTGTACCTGTGTTTTTATTTCTCTGGGGCAACCCCCTAGGAGCGGAATTGCTGGGCCACAGGGCAGCTCTACACTTATAGTTTCTAAGGAACTGCCAGAATGTTTCCCAGAAGTGGGAAACCACCACTTTCAAATCACAATAGCGATGTGGGAGGGCTCCGATTTCTCCACCTCCTCTCCATGCTTGCTATTATCTGTCTTTCTTATCATAGCCATTCCAGTGGATGTGAAGCCATGCCTTGTAGTTTTGATTTACATTTCCCCAGGGACTAGGGATGTTGGGCATATTTTCATGTGCTTATTGACCACTTGTATAATCTTTTGGAGGAAATATCTGGTCAAATCCTTTGCCCATTTTAATTGGTTTATTTATTTATTCATTATTGAGTTGCAGGTGTTCTTTATATAACTTAAATACAAGTCTCTTACCAAATATACAATCTCAAAGTATTTTTCCCAACCTGTGGCTTGTCTTTTTCATCTTTATTGACTGCTATTCATTGTAAAATTCACTTGAGCCATTTGGCAATATTGCTAGCACAGATTAACATAACTTTAGACTATAAATAGAAGTGTAGAGTCTAGATCAAAATATACCTATTGGCTGCTAACCTGACTACTCTGAAATGATGAAATCAGCTTAGAGCACCACAGCATAGAAGACATACTCCCAAAAATGAGATAAAATCTTCCCACGTTGAACAAGGATCTGAAAATCATTCTATATTTCATATGAGGACCAGAATAGGAAGCAGATTATATTTAGCACAGAATAAGGATTCTCCAGTTGGTAAAGGATACCCATGTAATCCTCTGGAAAACAAAAGTAAAATAAGCAGACGCCAAAGAAAGAAACACATTTGGGATCTATATAAGGAAAAAATTACAAAGGACACACAGTGCCAAGTACTCAATAAGTATTCATTAAACTAACCCATAAAGGAACAAATTAGATGTATCCAAAAGTCGAACAAGCTGTTTCAACAAGGAGTAGGCTCCCATGACTAAAATGTTCAACAGAGTGAAGACACGTGCTGCTCCTGTGGTGGAAAGGCTTCTTGTATTGATAAAAAAGATTG